GGATTTGGGGGAGCCCTGATAGCATAGTGGTCATGCACTGGGCTGTTAACCACAGGGTCAGTTGTTGGAAGCCCCCAGCTGCTCGGCAGGAGTGGGATGAGACTCTCTACTTCCATAAAGAGTGACAGCCTCTGAAGGTTGCAGAGAAGCACTGCCCTGTCCTGTAGGGCTGCCGTGTGTCACGATGGACGGGTCGACCCTGAGTGGGAGTGAGTTTGTAACGGATGGACTTGCTGGTGGTCCCTAATTGTTATCTTCCATTGCTATGCTCCCTCTGTTGCTTGTGGTTTGAGATTAAGCTTTGCGCTTAGTATCTCGTTTCTTTCCTTTTGCAGCTGCCATTCTGCGATAGCCTTGTGAGTGTTGCTTTGAAGCACGGGGCTGGTTAACGTCCCCAGCCTGAACGGAGCGCCACGGCCCCCTTGGAACTGCTGCTGACTTTGAATCCACCATTCGCTAATGAGTGCCATGACAGCAAAGTCAGGGGCGCACGTCTGAGCTGTAACGTCTAATCGGTTTCACCTTAAAAGCAAAGCTAAGTTCTAGGCTCTCGGGGAGAAATAGCGAACGGCAATTCCCTTGCCCTCTGTCTCAGTGGAAAGTCGGTGTGTACGTGCATATAAACCCAAATCCCACTGCCCTTCGGTTTACTCCAATTCAGAAGGACCCTGAAGGGCGGGGGAGAACGGCTCCCATGGGCTTCTCAGGCTGTACATGGCAATTCCATTGGCATTGAATTCATGGACCATACGACTCGATGGTCTACATGTATTACAAGGAGAGGTGCGATGATCACCACAATCAATTTCGATGATTTCTTCACTCTTGCACTCATTATTATTAGCTCCCCCTCACAGCCCACCCCCCACCAACCTCCCCTGCTGTAACCCTAAGGAACTAAGGCTCTACTTGCTGTCTCTCTAGATTTACCTATCCTGGATTCCACATCAAGAAAACAGCCAGAAGACCCCAACAGTGAGACGAAGACACAGCACAGGAGCACTCAATCCAAACGAAAGCAGGAGACAGTAGAGACTGGAACAAATTAACGAGGGACCACAGGGACAGTCTGCGAATGTGTAAGCAGCCCTGGTGGTGGTGTCAGGTGTGCGGGTTAGATTTTATGTCACTTGATGGTACTTGTGTACGGGTGGAGTTCAATGGCAACCAGGTGGTAGCCTGGCCAAGCCTCCTTGGGGTGTGACCTTTTAATAAGAGAGCTAGTGAGAACGTTTCCCTTTCTTGCCCCGCATCCCTCCTGCTTGTTGGGATTCTGTGTCTGGCTTCAGAGGTGGCCCCATGGGGGCTACTGACCCTGGGAGCTCACCAGGGAGAGGTTGGCATCCTTGTCAGGTTCCCAGCAACCTTGGTCCACATGACTGTGCATATGCCAGCCTAGGAGCGTCCTGCATGCCTCCTCTGTCTCCCTCGGAGCGGTGAGTAGGTTTGCACTCTTGATCTTGCAGTTATCAGCCCGATACCTAACCCATGGTATCACCAGCACTTCTTATTCAATCATTTAAAAAACAATCCCAAAATTACACTGCCCAAAAACCCGATTCTGATCCACAGCAGCCCTGTGGAGGAGAGTGCAAGTGCTTGCTCGGTCTCTCTCGAGGGCTATGCATTTTTTTGTTCAATGTGAGCGGACAGCCTTAGCCTTCTACCTCGGAGCAGCCGGTGGCTTTGAACCGCAGACACTGTACTTAGCAGAGGAGTATGCACCCTCTTGTGCTACACTGGCTCTGTTGAACATGCATAAAGGGAAGAGAAGGATCCCTGGTGGCTTAGTGGTTAGGCGTGGGCTGTGACCTGTAAGGTCGGCAGTTCAAAACCACCAGCTGCTCCTCAGAAGAAATATGAACTATCTACTCCCATTAGGAGTATCAGTCTCAGAAACTACCGTGCCCTCTAGGGTGGCTATGAGACGGCACCGACGCCATGGCAGTGAGTGAGTGTTGAGAAGAGAAAAACACCCACTGCAGACTGTCCTTCACACAAGGTCCCATGGGCCAGCTCGTCCTAGACCTTTCTGAACGATGCGCTGAGAGACAAGGACGGGGGCTTCAGGAATGACGGCCCCTGGATCATACAGCACCTTTACCTCACTTTGGGTTCATGCCACCTGTGGCCCGAGAGGCCCCTCCCTTTGGCTCACCCCCTCTGAGAGACCCAGCTGACCTCCCCTGCATTGGGCTCACCCCCTCTGAGAGACCCTCCCGGCATCAGGGAGCTCTTGTCATGGAAGAGGTTGGGAATGTTTCAGGGCGCCTACTAAAAACTAGTGTGGATCAGAGGTATGTTAATGTAGCTATCGATGATGTAGCTACACGTGACATCCTTGGAGAAGACCCCCACGCGTGGTACAGCGGGCTGGTGCAAAAGAGGAAGACAGGATGGACTAACAGAGACGACAACCAGGGGCTCAAACGGAACCACCACTGTGGGGGTGGCACAGGACCAGAAGGTGTTTCCTCCTGTCGCTCAGGGGGTGACTTGGAACCTACTTAATGGCACCTGTCAACAAGAGCAACGTGTGCTTTTGTTCTTAGCTGCTGTCAGCACCCAGCAGGCCAAGGCTGCCCAGCCCTGCGCCACCCCATGATGGGTGTCAGCCTGGGCTTTATTGGGGGGTTTTAGATACAGACCTGGAGGTCCTTCATCCCAGTCTGTCTTCCTAGCTCCACTTGCACCTGCTCTGCATCACAGAGCCACCAAGCCAGAGGAGCTGTCTTAACCTACAGGTCAACAAAGCCCTGATGCCGGTCTTACCCCCGCGCTTGTTGATCCTGGCGTAGCCCGGGGCGTAGCTGCTGGCCTTGATGGAGGAGCTGCTGAAGGCTGGGTGGGGGAGTCCAGAGACAAGAGGCTCATCGCATTTCTCTGAAAGGGAGAGAGAGAGGAATTCAATCAGTGGCTCTTAGGCAGGATGAGCAAGTGTTGAAAAAAAAAAGATAGATGATCGTCACGTTTCCAAAACCAACGCACAGCATTTAACGGATGCTCAGAACGTAGGCAGCTGGACTCTGCCAATTGAAGCAAACCACAGAAGCAAAGACACCTGACCTCTCTCAGAGCCCTGTGCCTGATTCCCTAGGGCAGGCCATCAGGACCACGAGGAAGACGAAGCAAGCAGTTGATGCAAGGGACGCTGATACCTGCCATCTCCCGGAGGACTCAGGGTGCTCAGACAACACGGTGACTCTGTCATTCAGGGTAGACTAGAGAAACAAATTCATAGACACTCATATGTGTATAAGAAAGAGCTTTATAGGAAGAGTAATTGTATATGTCTTCCACCCTGGAGATGGGACACACACTCTCTGTTTCATCTGTTTTGTCTTCCTGCTGACAAACCACATGGAGCTACGCTGATGGAGCCAGAGCCTGGCATTGGAGAAGCCATGTGGAGACCCATGCCAACACTGAGATCCCTCCACCGCCACTGGATCCATAAGACTTTCCACCCACTGGCCTGTGATCTTCCTGCATTCTGTGTCATTGTATAGGTTGTATGAGTCTGAAGAAGAATTTATAGACTTATATTGGGCATATGGACCAATGTTAGAACTTATGGACTTGATCTGGACTGGGCCGGGATATTTTCTTAATATGCAATTGCTCTTTGATAGAAAACTTTCTTGTACACATATGAGTGTCTATGAATTTGTTTCTCTAATCCACCTAGACTAACACAGGGACAGAGAGCCATGAGATTGCAGGAAGGAGCCGGGCAGAGTGATCTGTCTGAGGCCAACGCACTGAAAAACAGACATCTCTAGGGAAGTAGAGGGTCTTCGCCAACAAGGAAAGGACTTGCAAGTACAAAACACAGCCCCTTCTCCTCTACCTTGCTTTCAGGCTCTCCTCCTACTCCTTCTCATGCTCTACAAAGCCCACCTCTCTCCTCTGGGGGCCCTGTTCACATGCCCCATGTCCCCACTCTAGCCCAGCGCTATCTATCAACAGCTGCCCTGTCTCCAGGCCATTCCCTGGGAGCCTTCCCAACGGGCTTCACACCACCTGTGCACACACCTTCGTTCCGTTGTCTGCTTGCCTGGCTCCCCTGCCAGACCTGGAGCCCTGGGACCAGTGGGAAATGGTCAAGGAGGAGCCTTGGGGCACAGAGCAGGCGCAGGAGAACCCCGCCGATCTCAAACAGCCCCCCCCATCATCATCGTGAATCACAAGTGCCTCAGCTCCCAGGGGCAGCCTCAGTTACCCCGGGCCAGTACTGAGCTGAATTGGACTCGAGGTCACAGCATGTTCTGGAATGATTTCCGTCACAGGGTTGTGCAAAACAGAACAAACCCACAGCAAACCAAGAAGTGGACTAGGCACCTAGAAAATGCAGGTACCTGGAATCACGCCCCCAGGGCTGCCGAGAAAGGGCTCTGCTCTCTGTCTCTGCATCCAGACGGACTCTCAGCGACCCCCAGCGGCCAGGAGAACTGCTCCACAGGGCTCCCCAAGCTGAGAGTCTGTGCAGAAGCAAGCCACCCCACTTTTCTCCTGAGGGTGGGTTCCAATTCTGGACCCATCGGTTAGGAGCCCAGAGTTTGGCCCACCCTTCCGAGACATGGAAAGC